CCCCTGGCTGAGCCGTGGCCCTCACCCCTGGCTGAGCCGTGGCCCTCCGTGTCCTGGCTAGGTTTCTGTCAGCGTGACACACGCTGCACTCATCTGGAAGGAGGGAACCTCAGCTGAGAAAATGCCCCCGTAAGACCCACTATAAGGCATTTTCTTAAGGAGTGATGGATGGGGAGCCCCAGCCCGTGTGGGGGTGCCATCCCCGGGCTGAGGTCCTGGGTTCTCTAAGGAAGCTGTGAGCGAGCCAGGGAGCAGCGCCCTCTGTGGCCTCCGACAAACCCCGCCCCAGGTTCCTGCCCTGAGTTCCCGTCCCGGCTTTCTCAGTGGCGGACTGGGACGTGGACACGTGAGCCACATAAACCCTTCCCTCCCCACGTCACTTCGATCGTTGTGTTCCATCTCGGCACCGTAACCTAAGACTCCACGCTTGTCCACTAAATGCCTACCTCGTTCCCTCTTCCGTGTGGCGTCAGGGCTTCGGCTATGGCACCTTGACCAAAAGCCGCCGGAGCTGCGGGAGAGGCCTGGGGCGCAGGGCCCATAGCGAGAGCTCAGAGCTGGAGCTAAATCTGGACGCTTGGACCTTGGCCACCCCTGGGGACCTGGCCTCTCAGGGGCTGAGGCAGAGAAGTAAAGTCAAGACCGACCCCTCGGTCTAGGATGAGGCTCCGAGGGTGGAGAGCCGAGCGTCTTAACGCTGGAGGCACCGGTGTCCATCACCAGCGCTGCCTGAGCAAGATGTGGTTGCTGTGCCTGCAATTCCTGCACTCAGGAGGTAGATCAAGGGATCAGAGGTTCAAAGCCCCCGTCAACTGCAGAATGAGTTTGAGGTCAACCTGGGCTACTTTGTCTCAAAAAACAAATGGGAGGGGCTGGAGAGAGAGAGGGGGAGAGAGGGAGGAAGACAGGGGGAGAGAGAGAAGGAGAGACAGAGAGGGAGGGAGAGAGAGGGAGAGAGAGACAGAGAGGAGAGGGGGAAGGAAATGGAAAAAATAGACACCCTTTATCCCTTGACTTGTCCCCAGCCCCCACCACTCTGATGAGGTAGAGATGGCCAACCCTATTTTTAGATGAGCAGACTGGCCAAGACGTGCCGCCACCCAGGAGTTCTATAAAAAACGAGGGGAATTTGCCCACTCTGATGTAACTATTCTTGTTTTCCCTCACCTTCCTCCATCCCCGGCCATCCATCTTTTATATACTTACAGACCGAATACAGATTCAATTTTGTCCTTTTTATACAGCACTGATGCCCTTTTCCCATTTAAAAAAATGTGACTGATTGTGTCATTGGGCCGGGGTGTAGCCTAGTGAGAGGATGCATTCAAAGCCTGCAGGAGGCCAAAAACAACTTTTTCCAAATATATCCTATATGGGAAAAAGTCAGTTCTTCAAGGCTTCAAATTTTTAAAAAGGGAAGCAGGTGCTGGGGACGTGGAAAAGTTGGTAGAGCAGCTACCCCCCCCCCCAAATTTGGGGAGGTCACCCCAGCATTGCACACCTGACGGACACCGGTCAGCCCAGCACGGAGGCAGGAGGATCCTTGGGTCCGTAGTTCAAAGGCTTGTTGAACTCTCCATTTTTGCATATTCGTGTCTTGTGTTTTCTTCTTTCTGGTTTATTCTTCGGGTCGTGTTCTTATGTCACAGTCTGAGAGGAGGCTTGTGGAGTATGAAACGCGTTTCAGGGTTGTGTCTAAAACCAAGGTCTTCACTGCAGGCTCAAATCTTGGGTGACAGTTGTGCTGGGTATAGAACCTTAGCCACAAACGCCATCTTTCTCAGAAGAGGATGGCTAGGCCCCACCTGCCCCTGCACCGTTACTGCTCAGGGTTCCAGCGCTGACCTGATTTATGAGACTTCCCAATGGCTTCCCTTTGTCTTTGAAAATGTCTGTTATTTTCCTTACCTCTGAGCATCAGAAAATTTTGCAACTATACGCCTTTTAAAATGCTTTTATTCCTCTCTCCACTTTTCACACTCTTTTTCCTTCTAATTTTGTTTAAAAAGAAAAATCCCAATATCTCAATCCTTTACTGATTTTTCTATCAGCTTTAAAATCTTTTCTTTTCTGAATGTGCATTTTCAGCCTCTTGCTGTGATAAAACAGCCTGAAAAAAGGCAACTTGGGGGAGAAAGGTTTCCCCTGGAGATGCGTCCTGGGAAAGAAGTCAGGGGTAAGCGTGAAACAGCTGCTCAGTCCCGCCTGCCAGTGGGAAACAGCCTGGAATCCTGCCATGGAAGCTCAGTGCACTGTTCCGCAGAGTCAAGGCCACGAGGCCCAGAGCAAGGCAGAGAAATCTGCGGGTGGGTGCCCAGCCAGGGGACAGGCCGGCCCCACCTACGAAGCTTAATAATCAGATCAAATTAAACGGGCTTAACTGCCCACTGGTGACCTGTTGCAGCGGGGCCGTAAGACGGCCAGATGTGGAAGGCCTGCTCAGAATGACGGCACGGGTGTGCACACGGCTGGGGAGCAGGAGGCCTCACCCACCCCGAGTCTTCGCACACCTGCCACAGCAGCCGAAGCCCCAGCAGATGCTGCTCCCGCAGCCCCTCCGGCTCCCCGGCCGCCCTTGCCCCCGCCCAGGTCTAACCTGCTGCTCCGGACCCTGAAGCAGCCCCCAGAAACCGTTAGAGGCCTCGGGCACGTGCTGCTGGCCCAGAGCCCTGAGAGGGCCAAGGCTAATTTACCACAACCAGGTCTGCCACGGCCTCCGGCTCTCGGTGGTGGTCCCCTGAGGTGAGGTGGGGGCCTCCTCATCGGGCACGAGGGGCCAAAGTTCAAGGTGAAAATCGCTTCTGCAATACTGGCCAAGCAGGCACGGTGGTGTGAGCTTTGAGTCCCAGAAGTCAGGTAGAGACCGGAGGATCAAGAGTTCAAAGTCAGCCTGGGCTACATAGCGAGTTCACGGCCAGTCTGGACGACAGAAAACCTTGTCTCAAAAAGAAAAAAGAAAGAAAAAGTCCAAAGTCCCAACTGCCTTGAGGTCGTGGCTGCTGGGAAATGGAAGAGAAGAGCCGCTCACCGCTGCTCACGCGAACTGTCACCCACAGCCAGTGGGGGGTGGGGACGCCCTTCGGGAGGTTGTGTAGGGAGAGGATTGGGGGTTGGTGCTGGGCAGGCGGGGTAGGAGGGGGGCGTGGGATGGTGGGTCAGGGACAGGATGGGGGTAGGTAGAGGTGAGTGGGAGGAGTGAGTGGGGGTGGGTGGGCAATGAGGTGGGGGTAGGGGTGAGGTGTGGGGGATGGGGGCAGGTGACGTGCCTGGGAGAAAGCAGGTGGCAGGAGGTGGGGAGATGGTGGGGAGACGTGAGGGTGTGTAGGGAGTGTGAGGGCAGGTGGGCACGGGTCGGGGCCTCGGGAGGGGTGGGCGAAGGGGACACGGGGCTGGAGGGCCGACAGCGGGGTCTGTGCCGTGTTTGGTTCTTGCTCACGCTGTTAAGGGCGTAGTAGCCGTGGCTGTGACTCCGGGATCCTCCAGGCCCCTCTCAGGCTGCACACCCCATCTGCGCGCTCACGCACACACGCACGCACGCACGCACGCACAGCAGGAGACAGGTCCCGGGCACAGGGGTTCACCGTGGCCCCCCTAACCCTCGCCTTCTGCTTCCTGGCTGCTCCGTCCCTGCGAGGACCCTCCCTCTGGCTCCGGCCTCAGCTGGGGCTCCCGCCTCTGGGCTGGCAGGGATGCGAGGGCCGCATCCCTGCGTTCTGCCTCAGATGCTGGTGGCGCAGGCGGTGCTGAGGTGGCCTCTGCCCGCTCACCCTCCTGTCTTCTGTTCTTTCCCTCCCCTCCAGGGCCCCTGGAGGGGGACATGTGCGTTCAATCTACCCCTTTAACGGGAAGGCGCCTCCCCCTCCTGCTTTTCCTAAAGCCCTGTCTGTTCCCAGCTGGGACGCTGCACAGTCCCTCCTTCCTCCCCTCGTGTCAGTGCTTATCCTCCTCCTTAATCTGTGTTATGTATCGGAATGACAGTTTTATGGGAGGGGGAAGGGCCTTTGTTCCCAAAACCTGTTTATGGAGCAGCCTGGGGTAAGAGGGAGGGATCGGTGTGTGTGTGTGTATGTGTGTGTGTGGGGGGGGTTCCATGCAGCCTCACAGTTCTCGCCATTGAGTCAGGTCCAGCTGGAGGCTGCATGGAGGGCCCTGCAGGAGGGCCGACACACCACGCTTTTTTACGTTTTATGTATTTTGTACGTGCATGTGTGTGCAGAGGTCACGGGACAGCTGTGGAGGCTGGTTTTGTCCTGCCAGGCTGTGAGCCCTGGTGTTGACCCTCGGGTCGCCAGCGCCTGCACCTGGCTTTGCACACCAGTTCTGGGGGTTTGCGCTCAGGCCTCGTACTTTCACGCAAGCCCAGCCTGTGCGTCTCTGGGTAGAGGCTTACATGGCTGACCTGAAACTTCAGATCCTCCTAGCCCCAGCTCTGGAGGACGGGGTCGTGAGTGGCAGCACCGTGTCTAGTTCATTCCTTCTCCGGTTGGCACACCAGGCAGGTAGCCCAGCTCGGCCTGTGCCCACTCAAGACAACTAGCGCCTCTGTCTCAGCCCTGGGCACACCAGGACTGCCGGACCCCCCGGAGGACACCTGCTCGGGGTTCCTGCCTCTCAGGGCAGCATGTGTCCGAGGCCCAGCAGCCGCCAGGGTGCAGCTCTGGGTCTCTGGGCATCGGCTTCTCCAGGAAGTTCCTGCACACCCAGGCCTTGAACTGGGCAAAGAACAGAAGCGGCTGAGAGCTTCGCCTCGAGGCCTAAAGCAACCAGCGCTCTCCGCTCGGCTTTGAACCGACTCTTTTCCACATTAAAGAGCTTTGATATGGGAGACGGACGTAAAGACACAAAGTCCAGAAGAGACGAAGCCTAGGGGGGCGTTGAGACTGGTGGCTGTGTGCATGTGGGGGGTGCGTGCGTGTGCGTGTGTGTGTGCGTGCATGTGTGTGTGAGAGAGAGAGCGAGAGGGTCTAGCTGTGCAGCCCAGTCCAGCCTGGAAGTCGCTCTGCCCACTGGGCTAACCTAGACTTCTCGGTGTCGTCCTGCTCAGCCTTTCATGTGCCGGGACCATAGGTGTGAGCAGCTATGCACAGAGCCGAGGGAATCTCTGGGGTCCGTTGGTTGTGTGTTGTTAGTTGGTTGTGTTGTGAGGCAGGGTCTCATGTACCGAAGGCTGGTCTCGGACTTGGTACCCAGCTGTGGTGATCCTGGTATCCCCTGCCTCACGCGTGTGCAGGGACCCAAGGCACCACACGAGCACGGCTTCCGAGTGCTGGAGGTGGAGGCCGGGGCTCCCGCTCAGGCAGCCCTCCCAAGCGGAGCCTGAGCCGAGCCTTAGCCTAGCCCTCTGCAGGGGCCTAAAACCTGCAAACTTCACTTCCCCTTCCCGGAGCCCTCTCCTGCCACCCTCAGGCTTCTGGGTACACACACACAAACACACACACACACACACACACACACACACACATACACGCTGTGAGCACCCGCTGTGAGCTGGCTATATGCTGGCCCGGCCTCCCCCAGAGGCCGCTGCATCCAAGCTGCTCCCCACTTTTGCTCCCTCGGGTCCCCGAGTTCGTCAGGGCCCAGCAGCCTTCACACACACCCCCCCCTTACATGCTAGCCTTCCGCACGTCCTCCTTGGCGGCGCTTCCCAGGCTGGCACAGCAAGCTTCGAGGACGAGGCCCCGATGGGGAACCATCAGCGATTCCTCACCCAGCTGTGAGGGGCCCCGGCTGGTGGCGCCCTGGGCGTGGGCTCCCCTGGGTGTGGGCTCCCCTGGGTGTGGGCTCGGACCTTCATCCCCCCTCTCTCTCTTTCAGAATGCATGAACTGTACCCGGCTCAGTGACATGAGTGAGCGGCTGACCATGTTGGAGGCCAAGGTTAGCCTGCTGGGTGGTCGGGGAGGGCGGGCTAGCCTGGGCAGCCAGGTCTCGGCGCTGAGAACTGGTGAGGTGTGCTGGCTGGGGTGGACCAGCCTCCTGGGACGGGAAGAGCTCACAGGCCCAGGGAGTGGCTGTGAGGCCTGCTCCCGAAGGGGTCACACTCCCAGCTAAGCGCTGGCTTGGGCCCAGGCCCGGGCGCTCAGGAGAAGACTTGGGGAGGCCGGCCAGCAGGAGCAGCAAGTCCACAGAGGGCGCCCCGGGCGTGCCGTCGGGAATGTGGGTGAGGGGGAGGCGGCTGCATCACCACCCAGCGTGGCCGCTCACAGGTTGGGCACCCAGGGCACACGCACGGGGAGCTCAGCCAGGCACATCTGCGGGGAGATGGGCACAGTCCTTTCCTCTGGGACGCTGTCGAGCGGGCACCTTCCAGATTGTGCACACCCAGCTGCTCAGGCCCCACTGGGTGAGGTCTTCAGTGAACGCTGACCTCCCGTGCCCTCCGCACACTCATCCTAGGCACAGAGCCTCCATGGCCAGAAGCAGAGGGCACACCTCTGCAGGGCCAGGCTCTGTTCCCAGCATGCACAGAGGGCTGGGACGGGAGCAGAGGAGCTGGGACAGGAGCTGGGGGCTGCTGAGGACACAGTTCTAGAGCAGCCTGGCCTTCCAGGAAGGCAGGACCCCTGAGCTCCAGACAGAAAGGGGTCTCTCTGGAAGCTGGAGACAGCCACAAGTTTCTATTTGCATCAGACCTCAAGGAACCCAAATTCCCATGGTGTGGGTGGAAGATTCTGCCCAGTCAGTAAAGCATGGGGACCTGGATTCCATTCCCAGCACCCCGGAAAACCCAGGCATGGTGCTGGAGGAGGAGATGGGGTAGGGGGCTCAGGGCTGGCAGGACAGCCAGCCTAGCTTACTTGGTGAGGCTCGGGTCCCAGGGAGAGACCCTGTCTCAAAAAGCAGGGCTCAAGGGACATCTGAGATCATCCTCCGGCCTCCACACAAATGTGCACAGGGAATGTGAATCAGTGAAGATGCTCCTGACTCTAACCCTGCTATCCCAGCACTCCCGGGGTGGGTGATGGTGAGCCTGAGGCTCTGAGCTACAGAGCAAGACTCTGAAGGAAGGAGGAAGGAGGGAGGGAAGAAGGGAAGGAGGGAGGAGGGAGGGAGAAGGGAGGGAGGGAGGGAGGGAAGGAAGAAGGAAGGAAGGAAGGAAGGAGGGAGGGAGAAGGGAGGGAAGGAAGAAGGAAGGAGGGAGGGAG